GCGCTCCGCCCCCCCCCCCCCCCCCCCCCGGGCCCCCCATCGCAGGCCGGAGCCGATGTCCACCGATTGCGCGCGCGCACCGCCTGCTGGGACGAGGCCCGTGCGGGTCACGTGACGCGTTCAGCCTTCACACGCTCGTGCGCAGCCATTTTCTTGGGGGGCCGTTATGCCAACGACTCCCTTAGGGTCGGGAAAGACATCTCAAGTGTTTCCGGGTCTGGTTCGTAACTCGGAGGGGAAAATGCATCACCGTGTAGACTTACAGGTCCCTAGCTCAAGGTGTCATCTAACTTACTCCCTTAGTCTTTAGAAAGAAAGAACGAGTAGTGATAAGTGCAGGAAACAGAGCTGCTGTTGCTCCCGATATTTAAGACATGCTATGGAAGCGGCCGACTAGGATGGAGGACGCAGGCGGTAAAATCCTTCCGCGAGCTCGGAGAATAGAGTCCTGGTCCTTTTAGACTGCCAAGGGGTGGGGTGTAGGGCGGAAGTTATGGCGCAGGGCCGAAGTCTAGCTGCCGAAGGGCGGAAGTAGAATCCCGAAGTCTGCAATCATGGCTCAAGAAGAGGAAGATGTTAGAGATTACAATTTGACGGAGGAACAGAAGGCGATCAAGGACAAGTATCCTCCAGTCAATCGAAAGTATGAATGTGAGTAGGTGGCTCACATCTCTTGCATACGGGCAGCCTCAGCGGCTTACCTGCAGCTTCCTGCCTCGCCCATCGCCTTGCCCCACAGGTGCCCCTGGTATAAGCTCAGTGTGCCCCGCATTTGTACCTAATTTAGGGGGAAGGTGAAGAAAAAGATCGCTTTACTCGAGAATGAAGAAACTTGAGGCTCTGCCTCCCCTTAGCGTCTCCTAAAGGTCCACGTGTGCCTAAATCACGTTTATCTTCTCTGGAGATAGAGTTCGGTGGTATGGCGTTTGCCCAACATTTATCTTTATAAATTATACTAGCGCTCTAGTTGTGTTTTCAAAGTTTCGTCCTTGAGTTTCTCCCAGTAGTAGGTTAATGTGACCATGTTAGAGGACTGGGAAAATAATTGAGAGATGTGTTGTGTGTCTCTGTCTCCACACACCAAGGTTGGATTTTATATTATGTCCTTCAACTTTATTTGAAATAAAGTCCACTCTAAATTTTGACAATATAGTTATTCATAAAAATGTATTTTAATGTTTTTTTGTTTTTTTTTAGTTAAAGCCCTTGTGTCAGCCCGCCACACCTTTAATTACAGCACTCTGGAGGCAGAAGCAGTAAGATCTCTATGAATTTGAGGCCAGCCTGGTCTACACAGTGAGTTCCAGGACAGCCAGGGCTACAGAGTAAAACCGTCTCAGAAACAAAAAAGACTCTTGTGTCTTTAATGGATGTGCTAGAGCAAGGCTCTACCACCAAGCTACAGCTTCAGTTCTAGAGTAATCTTTGAACATAAAGTTCCTGAGATGAAAGAATTGGAGAACCACCCCGTATAGCAATGCCATCTTTTTAAAATTTTTTAAAGAATTGAGTATAATTTACATAAACAGGGGTAAAGCGTTAAGTACTTTTCTTTTTTTGTGACAGGGTTTCACTCTAACCAAACTTAGAATGATCCTCCTGTCTCAGCTTCCCTGGTGCTGGAATCACAGACTTGAGCTACCACACCTGGCCCCGATTATTATGGCTGCTAAACAGATATACCTGTGTGAGCAGCCCTAGTTTTGATCTAGATCGGTCCTGTCATCTTAGAAAGTTCCCTCAGTTTCTTTCCAGCCTCTTACCCATTTTCTCTTGTGTTTGCTATGCCCAGAGTGTACTTGTCTGTGTCAGAGGTTCATGTGAGTGAACTCATGCTCCCAGTTCTTTTCTATTTGATGGGGGCTTCTTCACCCCCTCAGAAATAACACAGGCAGACACAAATTGGAGAGCAGTCACTGCTGATGGCGAAAGCTGACAGTTCGGTAGAGATTGTTTTACAGGAGGAAGGAGGCAGGGCAAGGGCTCCTAAAGTCAGAGAAGTTACAAAGGACAGAAGAGGAGTCCTAACTGCTGTGGAAGCAGCAAGGCCAAGGCTAGCTATGTCTGTCCCTGCCAGTTTTGGACGTTTGAGTCCTAGCCTCCCACAGACTTGAGACAAGAGGCCCTGGCTGTGGGAATGATAACATTTTCAAAAAACTGGATCCTTGAGAAAGAGTCTTTGGAGCTGGAAAGGATACATATTCACAATTTTAAGGCTTCTTTGGTACTTGCTGTAAAGTAGGGAGATTAGTGGCCTTTTATCAGCTGTTGGCTGGAACAAAGAGGGAATTCTCCGGCCTTTATCAGGCTTTTCTCAGGCAAGCATTGTTCCTAAGACTTTTGCTCTATCTTGGGATGTGGCCTTATGCTACTAGAAGCCATGCTAGAGTTTGGTCACATGCAGGTGTTCTGATAAAGCTGTTATATACTGTGAGTTCTGCAGTTCCCAACAGTATTTGGAAATTTGTGTTAATGCTTATTTATTTCATTTGTTGTATCAGAGATTGAATTCAGGATAATTCTCTACCCTTCTATTGACCTCCGTCCCTAACTCCCTTCCTTTTAAAATGAATTTCACTGGGGTCTGTGGTCTTTGGAAACATGACGTTCTTTGTACCTTTATATTTGAGCTCAGTACATACACCAGACTGGCCTCAAACTGATGCGCTTCCTGCCTAAGCCTCCAGAAAACCTCAGCTGTAGTTCTAACAGCATTGTAGTCTAAAATCTGTCATACGTTCTCTGTGGATTTCAGGTTCTCTCTCTTCACCCTTTCCTTCCTTTGCTTTGTTTTCTGTTCACGCTCAGTATGAAATGTAGACCAGTGCACACGTTAGGCGAGCGCTCTACCACTGAGCCACATCCCCAGCCCTCAGGCTTCTTTTGTAAGTCAAGGTATTCTATTAAATGACCTCCGAGAATTCCTGCTAGTGGACAGAATTGCTGGGTGCAGTGGTACACGTCTTTAATCCCAGCACTCGGGAAATGGGCAAGAGAATCTGTGCCAGCCTGGTCTACTAGTGAATTCCAGGCCAGCCAGGATTATATATTAGACCTTGTCTCAAAGCCAAACAAGTGGAAAGAATGGGTGAAAACCACGGGATAGGTAAAGAACGGACTTAAGAGGAGGAGGTGACAGTCTCAGTGGGAGCAGCAGTGAGCTGTTGCCATCCAGTCTTTACTGTGGGAAAGCAGGGAACACTCATTGAACGTCTAGTGGAGTTGGCCTTCCTATTCAGGATTAGACTAGCTAGTCAGGAAAAGTAACTGATAGCAAGAAATAGTTATTGAGAGACCAAAGTCTAAGACACCTAACACGCAGGAGGTCTTGCTGTGTCACCCAGGGTAGCCTCCAACTGGGCTCAAATGATTTTCCACCTTCAGACTCAGAGTAGCTGGAACTGCAGGAACCCATTGCTGCACCCAATTGAGATGTTTTAGGATACCTAGAAACATGGTGGCATGCTTATAATCCTAGCATTCCAGATGGAGGTTGAGGCAGAAGGATCAGACCAGCCTGAACTGCATTGGGAGACCTTGTGTCTAAAACCAAAGCAAAATGAAACAAAACACCTAGAAGACTCCAGAATTTATCATTCATTTAAATATGAACCGAGTGGGTAGGTTGTTTTGTTTATAAAATAATACTAAAAAAGAGTTAATGTTGTTGAGCAACTAGCAAAAGGTCTAACTGCCTCATGTTTTCCTACTTTTAAAATTTTTTTCTCAGCTGGGTGCTGGTGGTGCACACCTTTAATCCCAGCACTCAGGAGGCAGAGGTAGGCGGATCTCTGTGAGTTTGAGGCCAGCCTGGGCTACGCACTGAGTTCAAAAACAGCCAGGCCAGGGCTACACATAGAAACCCTGTCTGGAAAAAAAATTCTTTTCTCTAATTTTTTGAAGATTTGTTTATTTTTCTTATGTATGAGTGTTTTGAGGGATGTGTTTATGAACACCACATGCGTGCCTAGTACCCATGAAGGCACTGGATCCCCTGGACCTGGAGTTACAAGTGATTGTGAGCCACCATTGGATGCTGTAAATCCATATTCTCTGCAAGACCAGCCAGTGCTCCTAGCTGAGGAGCCGTCCCTCCAGCACCATCTTCCTGCTTGCTCTACTGCACCTCCTGTATGTGGTGTGACAGTGTATGTGTGCATGTTCATGGGTGTGTGCACATGTGCACCAGTCAGGGCCACTTGGGTGTCAGTCCTTTTGTGCCTTCTTTGAGATAGGCTCTCTTGGCCGCTCTCAGGCTAGCGGCCCGGAATCTCAACCTTCCTAACGCTGCGACCCTTTAATACAGATTTCATGTTGTCGTGACCCCCAACCATAACATTATTTTCATTGTTACCTCATAACTGTAATTTTGCTACTGTTATGAATTGTAATATAAATATGTGTGTTAGGTGACCCCTTGAAGAGGTCACGACCCACAGGTTGAGAACAACCAATCTAGGGATTATGGTTTCCTCTTCCTGTTTCCAGTAAGCATGCTAGGATAATAGATGCTTGTGCTGCTGTGTCCGACTTTAACAGGGGTCCTGGAGATCAGAATTCTTGTCATACTGCCTTGCCCAGCATGTGCTTTTACCTACTGAGCCATCTCTCCACAATACGCTTTATTTCTTACCTCTGTGTGTGTGAAAACTCTGAGAGAAGGTTAATGTGTATATGTGCCACAGTGTAAGTATGGAGGTCAAAGGACAATTTCCAGGAGGCAGTTTTCTCCTTCTACTAGGTGGTCCAGTCCAGTCCAGTGCCATTAGCCACTGAGCCACCCCTTGCCTTTTCTTTTTCTTTTCTTTTTTGTTTTCATGATGGGGTGTTACTGCATACCCAGGTTGTCCGGGATTCAGTAGCCTGGGCTGGGCTGGAACTTGTGATCCTGCCTTGGCCACTTACGTCCTAGGATTACAAGTGTGAGCCTAGTGTCCCGCCAGGGTGACGCTCTGAATGAGCAGCAGTGAACTAGAGGTCTTTCTACTGCTGCTTCTGCCTGCTGTCATCAATACCCTGGAGTTATTTTTGTATGATTTGAGAGTCAAGTTCAGTGCCTTACACATATTTTTCCCTTTCTCCCTCAGATTTGGATCATACAGCTGATGTCCAGTAAGTACAGCAAGAATTATTCCTGGAAACTATGTGATGAGTGTTTTAATTTTTTTAAATTTATTTATTATGTATACAGTGTTCTGCCTGCATGTACACCTGCATGGCAGAAGAGGGCACCAGATCTCATTACAGATGCTTGTGAGCCACCATGTGGTTGTTGGGAATTGAACTCAGAAACTCTGGAAGAGCAGCCACTGCTCTTAACCTCTAAGCCATCTCTCCAGCCCAGAATGTTTTGATTTTTTTAATAAAAATTTTTAACTACATTTAATTTTTTTTCTACATTTAATTTTTTAAGATTTATTTTATTGCTGGGCAGTAGTGGCACACACCTTTAATCCCAGCACTTGGGAGGCAGAGGCAGGTGAATCTCTGACTTCAAGGCCAGCCTGATCTACAGAGTGAGTTCCAGGACAGCCAAAGCTACACTAGAAACCCTGTCTCAGCGGGGGAAAAAAAGGATTTTTTTATTATCTTATGTGGATGGATATTTGCCTGAAAGTATATTATGTGCACAGTGTGTGTTCCTGCAGCCTGTGGAGGTCAGAAGAGGTGGTCAGATGAGACGAGTTAGAGATGGTTGTGAGCACCATGTGGGTGCTGGGACTAGAACCTGGGTCCTCTGCAAGAGCAACAAATGCTCTTTACCACTAGGCCACCTCTCCACCTCTGTCCTTTCTTTGAAGATAGGGTCTCACTGTGCAGCCCTTGCTGGCCTGGAATTTGTTACATAGATATGTAGATCAGGCTGGCCTCAGACTCCTAGAGATCTACCTTCTTCTGCCTCCTGAGTTTTGGAATTAAAGGTGTTCCCCCATTGTGTAATTACACTTTTATTTATTTTATGGTGTGTGTTTGCGTGTGTCAGAGGACAAATGGGAGGAGTCTGTTCTTCCCTGCCACCACAGTGTCGGGCTGGGTGACAAGCACCCTTACCTGCTGAGCCAACTTCCGGGCCCAAGTGTATTTCTTTCGCCTTTTATTTCATTTTGTTCTAAATGTAAAATGATGGTCTGAAAACATCCAATTTGGGTGCCTTTAAAGTAGACATTTAGTTTTATATTTATCAAACTGATTTTCTTTTGACTTTGCTGTGGAATTTTCTCTCTTTTAAGTGGATTATATTGTTACAAACATTGTGACCCTTTTATTTGTCTTTATTTTAACTTTTTTTTTTAGGTTACATGCTTGGGGAGATACTCTGGAGGAAGCATTTGAACAGTGTGCCATGGCCATGTTTGGTTACATGACAGATACTGGGACTGTGGAACCCCTCCAAACAGTGGAAGTAGAAACCCAAGGTAACTGATATTCTCAAGGAACAATTATTCTATGGGTATACAGTGTTCTGGATGATCTGAATATAGAGTCGCAGTAAGAACAACAGGATGGATTATGAATCTCTAAATGAGCCGACGAACTTCATTGTACTTGAACGAAGCTCTTAGAGGCCAGAGTCACTAACCGTCATCCTGTGATGCCCCTTTGACCCTGTGTAGGAGATGACTTGCAGTCTCTGCTGTTTCACTTTTTGGATGAGTGGCTTTACAAGTTCAGTGCTGATGAATACTTCATACCCCGGGTAAGCAGAGTTCTCTTTGTTTGCTGAGCAAGTAGGCTCTTTGTTCATATTGTAAAGTTGAACAAATAATTGAAGATAAAGTATCTGATCAAAAAACCAGTCCATATAAATATGTGAGGTAATGTTGATTTGTGTAAGTTACAGTGTTATTTGTGTAAGTTATATCTTTTTTTAAGATGTTTATTTTTAGTTTATGTATACATTTGTTTTGCCTGCATGTATATCTGTGTGCCACATGCATGGAGTGCCATTGGACGCCATAAGAGGGCATCATATGCCTTGGTACCATAGTTAGAAATAGTTGTGAGCTACCATATAGGTACTGAGACTCAAACCTGGGTCCTTTGTAAGAGCAGCCAGTACTCTTAATTGCTGAGCAATCTCTAGCTCCATATAGGTCCTTATTGATTAACCTGTTTGCCTAGGTATATTCATTTTTTTACTTAGCTCTCTGAGCACATAGTATTTGATATGAGAATTGTATAAGCGTATCTACTGAGGGTTGGAGAAAATGTCTTCTTAGCCAGCATGGGGGAATATACCATTCATTATAGCACTCAGGAGGCAGAGGCATGAGGAACTCTGTGAGTTCCAGGCCAGCCTAGTCTGCATAGCCAGTTCTAGGTCAGTTGGGGCTCATATTGAGCCTCTGAGTCAAAAAAAAAAAAAAAAAAAAGGAAAGAAAAAGAATGTGCCTGATGTGCAAGTTTAAGTTTGAGCTATGTTTATAGGCACATGTTCCAACTGTTACCCTTCAAGTTTAATGGCTCTGTCACTTTGGCCTAAGTTCAACAATTGATGATTTTACATTTTTTGGTTTTTTTGAGACAGGATTTTTTAAGTTGTAATCCTAGCTATCCTGGAACTCACTTTGTAGACCCTTAAACTCAGAGATCTGCCTGTCTCCCAAGTGCTGGATTAAGGGCTTATGCCACTTTGTTCAGCTGATTTTAGATGTTTTTGTTTGAGATAGGGTTTCCTTGTCTAACAGCCCTAGCAGTCCTGGAGCTCACTTTGTAGACCAGGCTGGCCTCAAATTCATGGATATCTGCCTGCCTCTGCCTCCCTAGTACTGGGATTAAAAACATGAGCCACAGGCTGGGCAGTGGTGGCACACGCCTTTAATCCCAGCACTCGGGAGGCAGATGCAGGCGAATCTCTGTGAGTTCGAGGCCAGACTGGTCTACAGAGCGAGTTCCAGGAAAGGCACAAAGCTACACAGAGAAACCCTGTCTCGAAAAACCTAAATAAATAAATAAATAAAAATAAAAACATGAACCACCACACCCGGTGATTTTAGATTTCTTAATGGGGAAAAAAAGGAAAAGCCAAATGGAAATTGCTTGCTGTCATCAACCTCTGGGGCACTTCTCCAGCGTCTGACACATAGCCCTCTGTTTGCAGAAGTCTGGAGTCTCTCCTTTATCACTCTATGACACATATTCCACTGAGTCATCTTCCTACAAAGTTGAAGAGGGCCGTGCTGTTACAGATGGGCTGACAGTGATTAGAACTATGTATCTCCTCCTTTCTGGAGATGTTCTCTTAACTTTCTTTGTTGATGCTGAGACTTAAGGTTGCAGGGCCTTGCACATGCAGATACTGTATCCACTGCAGCTGTTCCTGCAGCAGCCCCTGACTCATTTACCTCCTGAGATGAGGCAGGGTTTCATCTAGCTAACTGGCTTCAAATTCACTTTGTGGTGAAGCGTGGCCTTGAGCTCCTGATCTTCTGTTTCTCTGTCTCCTGAGTGCTGGCAGCACACCTGGCTCTGGTTTAGAATGCCTATTTCTCCAGGATTCCTCCCTTGAATAAATAAAAAAACTTATCCTTGTGTTTTATTTTGACATTTTCATTTTATTTGCTTTAGAGAAATATGATAGCGCTTCCTAGGAAATGTGATAAGCTAGAAGTGTTTTAGTAAATGGCCCTTTGTGAAATTGGGGGTTTGTTTGTTTGTTTTGTTTTTGAGACAGGGTTTCTCCATGTAGCCAAAAGGTGCCTGTCCTAGAACTCACTCTATAGCCCAGGCTGGCCTTGAACTCACAGAGATCCGCCTAGCTCTGCCTCCCAAATGCTGGGATAAAGGCGTGCGCCACAACCACCCAGCCGAATTTGATTTCTTTTTGAGGCAGGGTCTTACTCTATCCCAAGTGGCCCTGGCCTCAGGCCCCTCGCCTGAGTTCAAGTATTGGGTTATGAGCATTTGCTGATGTACTTAGCTGAACTCTTCTTTTTTTTAAGTAATAATTTTCTGGGCTGGGGTTGTAGCTCGGTTGGAAGAATGCTTATTTAGCATTCCCAAAGCCCTGGTTTCAATCTCCAGCTCTCCAAAAAAGCGACCATGGTGACACGTTTGTGATCCCACCACTGCGGCGATGGAGGCAGGGGGGGCTGGAATGCATGGTTATCCTTGCCTATATTTTGAGGCTCACATGAGTAAATGTAAGCCCTTATCTAAAAAATATTTTAAAGTAGTTAATTAATTAACTAATTAACAAGTTAATAATTAAATTAAAATGTTAATTTTTTTCCTCTTTAGGAAGTGAAAGTACTCAATATTGATCAAAAAAATTTCAAGTTACGGTCAATTGGGTAAGTTTTGAAACTAGTTAAGTAGCAAGTCATGAAAGATGTTAAAATACATTCTCCATTGATACCAGTGGGCAAAGCAACAAATATAAATGGTGAGTTAGGAGAACTGCACTTGGCTAGACCTTGCAGGTTGAGCTGAGGGAGACACCTAGGAGTATGAGGTCATCTGAGCTTTACAGACTTGGGAACTTGTGGAAATAATATTCTTTCTGATGATAGAGTGTGAGTCCCAATTTCAAAATTTGATTTTATATGTATGGGTATTTGCCTGCATGTATGTGCCTAGTGCCCGCAGAAACCAGAAGAGGGTGTCAGATCTCCTGTAACTAGAATTACAGACAGTTGTGAGCTATATGAGCACTGAGAATTGAACCCAGGTCCTCTGGAAGAGCAGCCAGTGCTGTTAACCACTGAGCCGTTACTCCAGTGCTCAATTATTTTTATGGTTTAAAAAAAAAAAGATGCCAGGTGGCAGTGGAGTACACCTTTAATCCCAGCACTTGGGAGGCAGAGACAGGTGGATCTCTGTGAGTTCGAGGCCAGCCTGGGCTACAGAGTGAGATCCAGGACAGGAACCAAAACTGCAAAGAGAAACCCTGTCTCGAAAAATGGGGGGAAAAAGGTGTATTTATAATTAGCAGCTGGCCTCAGTTTAGATGATCCTAGCAATTGTTTTTGGTTTTTCAAGATAGGGTTTTCTGTGTAGCCCTGGCTGTCCTGGAACTCACTCCATAGATCAGGCTGCCCTTAAACTCAGGGATCCGCCTGCCTCTGTATCCCAGGGCTGAGATTAAACATATACCACCATGCTTAGCTTGATCTGTATTTTGTTAGTAACATCTAAAGCGACATGATCTAGAGCCTGTGGATCTTGTACTTTGTTCTCTGGTAGAACTATGTGGCTTACTCCCCTGATCCTGCCATCTCTTTCTGCTTCTCCAGTTTGGACCACGTTTATAAGGCTTACTTTAAAATGGAGCGAATAAAATAACAAGTAGAAAATTGTAGGAATAATAATCATGTTTTTACTTTCCTTCTCAAGGTGGGGAGAAGAATTTTCATTGTCCAAGCACCCTCAGGTATGTATGTTCAGAAGTCTAGCCATTGAAAGCATTTCGTCCTTTCTTACATAAAATCTGCGTATGTGAAAGTAGACTTCAGTTTTAGTTAGTGCGCAAAGTGACAGTTTGCCCAGGTGTCTCTTACCAGATGCATATATTCAAACACTGATTTCACGCATCTGATTGGTCAGTTAGGAGTCCGATTGGGCTCCAGGATCAAGTGTGTTACAGATTGTGAGGGAATTCTATTTTATCTCATTTTATTTTTAAAGATTTATTTATTTACTATATATATAGTATTCTGCCTACATGTGTCCTTGCAGGCCAGAAGAGGGCACCAGATCTCATTACAGGTGGTTGTGAGCTGCCATGTGGGTGCTGGGAATTGAACACAGGACCTCTGAAAGAGTAATCAGTGCTCTTAAGTGCTGAGCCATCTCTCCAGCCCCCTAGAGATTCTTTATGGAGTTGGAAGGAACTTAGAGGACATCTAATCCTTTTGTTCTAAACTGGGACAGTGTGGGGTACTCTCATGTTTCAGAATCCTGGGAAAGCTCTGATCTGTGTCATTCTCTGTCACTCCAGCCAGACCTGCAAAGAGAATAGGCCAAGTGCTCCGGCTGCAGTCGGGTGTAGGGAGGAGGTAGGGACAGGAAGAGCCCTGGGCTAGTGTAGAGGTTGCAGTCAGGGTGTAGCGAGGAGGTAGGGACAGGAAGAGCCCTGGGCTAGCGGAGAAAAGCTTGTGTTGTTTGCTCTGACTCATTTTAGGAATTAAAAAACAACCCGTGTCCAGCCAGTCAGAAGGCCTCCCTGAGCAGCCCGGCGGGCATTAGCACCGGTTCCTCCAGGACTGACTCACGGCCCCTTCTGTCTGCTGACTGCCTCTCGCTGTCTCATACCAGCTTAGGCCTCGGCACTAACTGGAGAGCCACCAGTTTCTTGTTTCAGAATTACAGTTTGACTTTCTGCCAGAAACTTCCTGCTAGAATTAGAGTCTAAATCCAGTTTCTTTCTTTCTTTTTTCCTTGACACGAACATTAGGGAACAGAAGTCAAAGCGATAACATATTCGGCAATGCAAGTCTACAGTGAGGAGAAGCCAGAGGTGTTTGTGATCATCGACATTTAAGATGCCAAGAAAAAACGAGACTCTTACGAAGAACTCATTGGTTTTCTTCCTTTTGAGAAGATGCAATGATTTGTTTTCTATAGTGTCTTTGCTAAATAGAAATACAGAACTGGGAATTCAAAGTGTGACTTCAGAAGTGGAAAACCAGTGTGGAGTCTTAGTCTATGAGTCTAGATAATGAGGAACAGTCTTGTACTAGATCATTGCAGCAGGTGCCTTACACCTTCCAGTGGAATGCGAGCGCTCCAGCATGGTCTCAGGGGAATGCCCATTGGTATAGGAGCCGCTGGGACCGACTCCAACTTCAAACAAAGTGATTTGAGCCGGGTATGATAGACAATATATGCCGTGATCACCACACTCAGGAGCCTGAGTTTGAGACCAGCTTTGACTATGGAATGAGTTTGAAGCTACCCTGGGCGACGTAACATGTCCCTGTCTCAATTCCTCCTTGTAGGGCAAGGAAAACATGTACATTGAGGTTATGTTTTTAGGTTGCTAAGGGACAGGGCTATCCTCTGTTCCAGTTGGTTCTTTGAGTAGAACCCTCAAAAAGACTTCTTACCTCAGCTGGGGTGGGGGGAGACTTCTTAGAAGCATCCTGATTTTCTTTCCTTTTTTTTCCCCCCTGAGACAGGGTTTTTCTGTGTATCTCTGGCTGCCCTGGAACTCACTCTATAGACCAGGCTGGCCTCGAACTCAGAGATCTGCCTGCCTCTGCCTCCTGAGTGCTGGGATTAAAGGAGTGGGCCACCACCACCTGGTTCTCTTTTCTTTTTAAACAGCGATGATACTTCATATTTTGTTAGAAGAAATATCTGATATGTAAGAAATATCTGAAGGGTCCTACATCTAGACCCTTCAGACATGCAATTTTATTTTATTATTTATTTTTCACAGTGTTGAGGATTAAGCCCCATCATAGTAGCTACGTGCTCTACCACTGAGTTTATAGTTCGATCATGAGGTGAAATTTTATTTGTTTATTATTTATTGATTTTTCCAGACAGGGTTTCTTTATGTAGCCCTAGCTATCCTAGAACTCACTCTGTAGACCAGACTGATCTAGAACTAAGAGATCCACCTGCTTCTGCTTCCTAATTGCTGGGATTAAAGGTGTGCACCACCACTACCCAGTTTTCTGGTTTTTTTTTTTTTTTTTTTGAGACCAGGTCTCATTATGTAGACCAGGTTAGCCTTGAATACATAATGCCTTCCTCTGCTTTCTGAGGACTGGGATTAAAGCTGTGCCCCAACACATTCTAATGTTATTAAAGCCAGTCTATGCATCCAGTTACAGAAGAAAAGCTTTTTTTTTTTAAATGACTCAGGCTTGATAGCACATACCTTTAATCCCAGCAGAGGATCTCTGGGAATTTGAGGCTAACCTGCTCTACATAATGAGTTCTAGGATAGTCAGTGCTATAGAGAGACCCTGTCTTAAAAAAACCAAACCAGAAAATGCTTTGGGTTTGATTTGCAGCTTTAATTTCTATTGAGGGATTCTCGGATTGAAATATGCAAAGCTAGCTATTCACAAGGCTGGGTGGTGCCAGATTTCATTACAGTCTCAGAATGCTGCGTTCTCTCAGTCTTATCTAACACAGATAAGTAGTGTTGATGAAGATGAGGCCAAGAGCTTCGGTCTGAAAAGCAGCTCCAAAACTGACTGTAACAGGATGACCGAGGGTATTGCTTCTTAACCGTTGCCTTACTCAGGCACATTGGTCAGCTTCAGGTGGAGCTGTCTGTCAAAAGGATGCAGAGGAGAGCTGGAGAGATGCCTCAGCGGTTGAGAGTGCTTGCTGTTCTAGAGCACGCAGCAGCCTGTCACTCCAGCTCCCAGAGATCCAACACACTCTTGCAGCCTCCACAAGCATCCAGGTGCTAAAGTAATAATTAAAATAAGATTGAAAGCCGGCAGTGGGGGCACTAGGGAGGCAGAGGCCAGACGGATATCTGAGTTTGAGGCCAGCCTGGTCTACAGAGCAAGTTCCAGGACAGCCACAGCTACAAAGAAACCCTGTCTTAAAAAACCAAAATTAATTAATTAAAAAATTAAAAGCAGCTGGGTGGTGGTGGCGACTGCCTTTAATCCCAGCACTTGGGAGGCAAAGCCAGGTGGATCTCTGTGAGTTCAAGACCAGCCTGGGCTACAAGAGTGAGCTCCAGGAAAGGTGCAAAGCTACACAGAGAAACCCTGTCTCTCGAACCCCCCCACCCAAAAAATCAAGTAAATAAAAATTTTAAAAATAAATAAATAAAAATTAAAAGCAAAAGAAAAATTCCATAGTATGCAGAACTAGTTAACCTTTATTATGGCAGACTGCCAGTCTTAGGTCTGATTTTGCTAAGTTGTACACTCTTACTAAACTGATCTCAAAAGTCAGTGTATAGGCAAGCCCTGGCTGCCTCAGGGTTTTTTTGTTTTTTTTTAATGGATCCCTTCGCTTAACATGATCTATTGAGAATCAATTGTGAAAATAATACCATAAATGGAATACCATGAAAGCAGAAGCAAATTCAGAGTAAAGAGCAGTTGAGAGGTTGTTTCCATACCGCGTCAGGGGCTGGTGAAGGTTCAGTGGGCAGAGGCTCCAGGCACCAGCCTGACTATTGGAGTTCAGTCTCCACAGCAGGTAACAGAAGAGAGACAGCTCCCACTGATTGTCCAATGACTTCCACGTGTGTCCCATAGTGCTCATGTACCACCACCACCACCGCCACCGCCACCGCCACCACTACCCCAAGCATACAGTACAATAAATGTTAAAAAAACCATCAGGGCTGGAGAAATGAAGACGGCTCAGAGGTTAAGAGCACTTGTGTTTTTCCAGAGGACCTGAGTTCAGATCCCAGCATCCATGTTGCCTGGCTTACAGACATAATTCCAGCTTCAGTAGATTTGATGTCCTCTTCTGGTCTCTTGGCACCCCTATACACCTATGTAAAGAATTTTTTAATTTTGTTTTTTTGAGACAGTCTCCATGTGGCCCTGGCTGTCCTGGAACTCAATCGATCCACCTGTCTCTGCCTCCCGAGTGCAGGGATTAAAGGCATGCATCATCACCAGCAGCTTTTTGGGTTTTTTTGTTTGTTTACAATTTCTTTAACTTTAAAAAAATCCTAAAACCATGCCAGGCTAGCATGATGAGCATTTCATAACTCCAGCACTCAAGAGACTGAGACAGGAGGATTATGAGTTTGAGGCCAATTTGGGCTTTGAAGCAAGACCCTGTTTCAAACAAGTCAGGTCACATACAGACTTGCAGCACACCTGACCAGGCTAGCATTTTTGATGCAGTGGCAATGAAAGGTGTTTTATTTGCTCATTTTTGTTCAGTTATAATGGTCTTGCTGGCTGTCGCCACAGCTATCTCCAAGTTTCACATAGTATCTTAGCTCAGGGACAGATTGTCCGTCACTTGCAGAGCTCATCCATTTCATGGGGCTGGAACGTTATCTTCTCATGAAATACCCCCACATTGCCTTATCCTTTTTTATCTCCACATTTTCTCTCACCCAGAAATACATCACTTGTCTTCTGTTCTCAGCCTCCTTGCCGGGCTACCTTTCCTAATTTTATAAAGCAGGCATAGCAGACATTTTCCAGAGAACCCAGTGGGCAGGGGGTGTAACAGGGTTGAACAGAGGGTTCATACTGGTCATGAAGCCGGCGTCTCCGCCATAACCTTGAGAAAGGGAGTGCAAGCCAAGCGTTGCATTTTTCGTGACATCCCACCACGGCCTGGCTGAAGGTCATTTTTTTGAACAGATCTCAAGAGTAAGAATCTGAAGTCACTAGCTGGGTGGTGGCACACACCTTTAATCCCAGCACTTGGAGGCAGAGGCAGGCGGATCTCTGTGAGTTCGAGGCCAGCCTGGGCTACAGAGTAAGTTCCAGGACAGCTAGGGCTACACAGAGAAACCCTGTCTCAACCTCCCCAAAAAATCCGAAAGTCACAGCCTCAATTCCTAATTCTTCTGACCCTGGACTTACTAAATCTGTATTATCTGCATTAGTGTGAGCTAGTCATAGTTTTATTTCACCCCTTTAGAGACAGTGTCTCATGCTGTCACCTAGGTTGGTCTTTAGCCTTTGGAGAATGACACCCAACCTTAGCACACACCATCATTCCTGTTAGTAATGGTTTTTAAATAAATCAACGAGCTGAGAAAGACAAGGTATTTGTTACTGCACCTTGCACGTGTTGTGGGAGTCTGTTCTTGGTACCACCTGAGTCCTAGGGATACAACTCAGGTCTTCAGGCTTGAAGGCAGGTGCCTTGACTCACTAAACCATCTCTCAGCCCTTAGGTGTTTTTCTATAATGCTAAAATGATGGAACAGATGCTTTGCAACAGTGGTTCTGAACTCTCCTAAAGCTGCAGCCCCTTGACACAGTTCCTCATGTTGTGGTGACCCCAACCACAGAATTATTTCCTTGCCAATTTATAACATAAGCTTTCTACTGTTAGGAATCCTAATGTAAATATTTTGGAGACAGTGGTTTACCAAAGGGGTCGAGACCCCCAGGTTGAGAACCACTGCTGTAGCAGTTGACCTGGAGGGCTGGTTAGTGGAGACTGTAGATGTAACCAACTGTCTTATTAAATAAGAAACACAGAACCAATGTAAAGAAGAAAACCAAGAGGTCAGAGCTCAGAGCTAAAAACCTTACCCTTCCTCCTGCGGTGATCCTACCTCTCCGAGAGAGACTTACTTCCTGTGTGTCTGTCTTTAATATAGTCTTTCTGTTCTGCCTTCTCATTGGTTGTAAACCCAAACACGTGACTGCCTCATTACTGCTTGTATGTACAGCCCTCCAGGTCTTAAAGGCGTGTGTCTCCAACGCTGGCTGTATCCCTGAACACACAGAGATCTACCTAGCTCTGTCAACCAAGCACTGGGATTAAAGGTGTGCGCCACCACCACCACCACCACCACCACCGCCACGCTCTTGCTATGGCTCTAATAGCTCTGACCCCCGGGCAACTTTATTTATTAACATACAATGAAAATCACATTTCAGTACAAATAAAATACCACCATAGGAGACGACTGTGAGGAGGCCTTGTTTCTGAAAAGGCAGTTTCAAGTGCTGATGGCATTGGTAGCCACTGCTGGTGTTCATGAGAAGGAGCACTGTAAAACAGCATTCGGACCACATGCAAGCACCTCCCCCACAGATAGAGCTCCATCGACCCGTTTCCATTGGAGCCTAACAACTACACACCAGGTTAAACTGTAATCTCATTGATTGAGAAACTGAAAAAGCACGTCATAAAGAATACAGCATGACATAAAATTTAGAAATTATTCCTTTTGTCTGTTTTAGACAAGGTCTTACTGTATAGCCTTAGCTAGTGTAGAACCCAATATGTAGACCAGGCTGGCCTCAAACTCATAGAGATCTGCCTACCTCTGCCTCCAGAGTTCTGGGA